TTATTTGTGAAGTGGCTTGCATTGTGGTTTTAGATTTGTATGTGTGAATTTTAATTAGTTAGAAAAATTAAGTTCTTTAGTAGGAAGAAAGAAAGAATTTTATTCAATTATTCCATAAGTTAATTAGTAGTTGCGGATTAGGGATAATCCTTTTGGCACAAATATTTTGGAATTTCTTCTTGAATATACATATTTTCTTATTATTATTTTGTCATCTCTCTTTGATACTTATTTCACTTATTTATTTATCTTCCTTGAATTCTTATCCTCAATAATACATCAAAAAGCATATGCACTTTCTATTCATAACTAATTTGAAATGTCAAACTACAAGAATTCCAAAATATTTTTTCCAAAAGGATTAGTCTATATTAGTGACATGAATTCTCTCTATATCAACTCAACCTACAACTCTTAACTAGTAGGCAAATTAATTTTTTAACTATGACTTGGCTAGATATCTTATATGTTGTAAGCCAAGTTAGTAACTTTATTATCAATCTACAAAAATTTCATCTCAATGTTGATAAACATATATTATAATATATAATGCAAACATTAGACTATAATCTCTTTTATACACCAAAAGAAAATTGTACAATTAAAGATTAGACTAATATAGATTAGAAAACTTATATATAAATATATCGCTTTATTAGAGCTTATGTTTTTATTTTTGTAACAATCCAATTAGTTGACAGAGTAAACACCACCTTAAAGTCACTAAATTCTCAATACAATCAAAATATCAAGCCTTTATTGAGAGAGGTCAAGGAAATGTCTAGTAACAACCACTAATAAATAAAATTCAACTCACTATTGCAATAGTCTTTATCACTTCCAAAAACACAAAAATACATCAAAGCATTTCAAATATTTTACCACAACAATCTATCACTATACATTGTGATAATCAAGGATCGATCAAATTGGCACAAAACTATATTTTTTATGCTAGAACCAAATGTATTGAAATACACAATTATTTTATCCAAGAGCAAGTTTTAAAAGGAAAAATTGCATTTTATTATAATACTACAAATGTCTAATTGGCAGATTTACTTACAAAACTATTAGCAAGAATTAAGTTTAAAATCTATGAAGATGCATTAAGCATCCAAAGTCTTAGCAACCTAACTAAATCCTATATACACTGAAATAACTCATTCTTAACAAATATTAGTATCTACTCTTTAGTGGGAAATAATATTAGCTAAACCTATTGTTAATAGCCATAAGAATCCTATCTAAAGAGAAATTACATCACAAAATCCTCATTTCCCAAAAAATTCTAATACTAATGGAAGACAAATTAGAAGGCACATAGGATGCACTTTCTTGCCAACAACAATGCTAAGAAGATAGAGACTTTTTGACTTCATAAAACAATAGAGTTCTTACAACATAGATTGTTACAACTAATACTACCATATCAACTATATTATCCTTATCAATGCATCCTACTTAAAAAAAAAAAAAAAAAACTTTTAAAAACACAAGTATATATATATATATATATATATATATATTTACTAAGAAAAAAGCATTGAAAAACAACATGCAAGAAGGCCTACTTGAATCCCATCTAAAAACTTCACTTAATATTCCATGTTAGAATATGCAATTAAGCACATCAACAAAATCTAACGCATAGCAGCAGAGCTTATACAACAACTCCAAAATTGTTCATGTGCACAACAAAAATAAGTATCCTTTCACCATAAACACAAACACTTATTAGCATGGTTAAAATAGTACAAAAGCATCAACATAAAACATGGAAGACAAAAAAAACACATACCATAGTCATTTGCCGATTGATATAAAAACAATCAAGGCTTCCTTGATACTCTCAACATTATGCTTATTGCAACAGATGTCTCGATATTAATCCTTACCCCCTCCCCTCTAAGTACTCTTCCACACTTCACCGTTAGTAAACAATGAAACGGGCTCGAGTTCGATGGTGTTACAAAGCAATTGCAGATTGTTGATCCTCCAGCTCTGCTCATCTTTCGGCATGCGCAGGACTAGGAAACCATCTAAAGCTGGAATAGGAATTGGAGGCAAGTTTGTAGACATATTGTCTTCAAGATGTCTACAAACTTGCCCTGGATGAGGTTACCCGATGCTGTACACTATCGAGAAAGCTTAGAAAACTCGCTGTCAGAAACCACCATTCTACGCATGCGACCACATACACATACACACTCTTTAGTTAAAGTTTAGGCTTCGGTGACGCCCAAACTGCACCCGGTGCAAGACTCTTTGAAGAAAGAGGTCCTTGCGACGAGTCTCGGAATGGCATGTGATCCGTATGGGAGCAAAGTAGCAACGTTCAGCTTAGATTTCGCCTAATCGATCTATTCGCTAACCGAGGGCTGTTGCACTCCCACCCAAGCGCTATACAAACATCCTAACCACCGCGGGGACAATCTTCAACTCCTTCTTTACTAGCCCGGGGCGTTCCAGAACTTACGAATCCTTGTCTTGCGGAATGTGGGGATCAAGTACAAACTCACGCAGCCTTTTTAAACGTGCTCAAGAGTAAGTCACATGTATTTTGCATCAAATCCACCAGCGAGTAACGATTGATCGCTTGACAGAGTCGTTTCGTCCACTACATCAGAGAAATTTGCGGTTTGCCTTACGATGAGATGCATGAGAGATTAGAAGATGTTTGCACAGCTTAGTCGAAGAGCATTAGAACTGAAAATTTACTCGATTAACTTGTTCACAACGACAACTTACCGACAGCATGTTTAGTGTTCTAATCGCAATGCAAACCATCAGATTGATTGTGTCGTTCTTTATGTTTCCCGCTTGTTCCTTTTAGCTCGTTGCTAGGTTTCCCACAATGGCATATTGTCAAACCCTTTAAGAGCTGGAACTGGAACATGGGACAGTAAATCTCTTGGATCCAAGTCATCCCATGTGGAACAGCACACAGCTCAGCAATTCTGATGCCAGCACTGCTATAAAGAGCAGATGACTCATACGCACCAAGTGCCTGGAAATGTGTCTAAAGACTTCGAATTCATGCAGAGTATGAGGCTTGCACAACTCGGCGTTGGATGAGGACTAGTTCCGCCATTTTAGGCCATGTGGGACAGAATCTGCGGCACCGACGGAGACGTTTCAGAGTTATAGTCATGGAACCCTGGGAATGGATTAACCTAAGAGATCGATTCACAAAGAAGATACCTTGATGGGGCAGGGGAAAGCCGCTGTCTCCCCTTCGCTAGATTTAGCTTTACATTCTGTCATCGACGGTGTCAGACCCCACATTTAGTCAATTTTCGCCCCATTTCTCGCCGCTCTACATTCCCTCGGAAACAAGTTCATTCGAATTGGGTCAACTTCGATTTCTGCTCCGCGTTGGTTGCTCTGTAGGTGTGCCTCCCACCGGCTTGCGACCGCATTGTGAGTGCGCACTGAGATCTCGAGTGTGTGAGTTTAACGACTGCGTCTCATGTCAACCTCGATGTGCATTCAGGAATCATTTAGTTGTGAAGTTTCCCTTTGTATTGAATGTGCGCCGACATTCAAGAGCTTTTGAGATGGCTGGTGTATCGGACAGTATATGCTCAGCATAGAATCAATTCCCTGTACAATACTTTGTAGACACCATGAGGATCTCCACAAAGGTTCCGACTATCGCGCTGTTCTGTCTAGCCCTTGCACTCAGCGCATCTGCTCGGCCCCAGTCTCGCTCTAGCGCAGTCTCAAATCGTCTCGAGGACGCGGAACAAGTGATCACCACCATTGTTGGGACACCGGCACAAGGATCCCAACATGTAGAACACCGGTTTCTGAAGTCCGGCAGCAGTGGAGGAAAGGAGTCGAAGTCTTCCAAGTCTTCCAAGCGTTTGAAACGCAAGTCTACGAGCATCCACAGCTGGTCTAAAGCCACATTGGTAGGCGTCTTCATTGGTGTTGGCGTCGCTTTAGGAACGGTTTTCGTGTGCTTTGTGTTTATCTTGGTGACAGAAAAGAAAAACACAGATCCCAGGTGGCACATACGATACCTTCTCTGTGGGCGCAAGCTGAAGAAACGTTATTCCAAAGCTTTTTCGAAGAAGAAATGTTCATCAGACGAGGAAACAGCGGATGCTAAGGAAAGAGAGGTCGAGGTTAGTGACGCTAAAGTAGAAGTAGCCAGTTCGAAATAGTCCTGGCTGTGCTTGAGGACATGGTTGGGGCGGTCATCCAAGCTGGAAATCGTTCAGATTGCAATCAGATATCTAAGCCATTGGCACATTAAGCAAGCTTGATATACTGTGGACATTTCCTTCCGGTTAGATTGCCAGTGATTCCCGCATGCACGGTTTCACTTGAGAATGTTGTGCTTGAACGACGTCGACTGAAGTTTGTGAGACTGTCAGTGTTTCAATGCATTCTTGTTTGATGGGTGCGAGTGTCGTAAATTAGTGACATGTGGAGGTGAAACTTGTGTAAGCCCACACGAAAGAATGCACCAAACTCAATGGACTGTTACGTTGTCAAATACTAGGGTTTGTGATGCCAAGACCGAGAAATGAGTTTGCGACTGTTTGGATTTTGAGCGAATATTTTGTCAACTTCCAAAAACTTTGTCTAGTACGTCACCAAACCTGCAACAGAGAACCGTTTCATGCCATGCATTACTTGTACCGACAAAGGGACACACAAATGCCATTTGGACATTTCCAACTTCAAGTGATGGGGATAGCAATCTGCACCAAGTTCACGGTGGAATTGCTGAAATTAGTTGTAGACCATGTTTGCGCATGTAATTGTTGCTTTTGAACTCCCCTACGTTTATACGAATGACACTGAGCTGTTTGGAATTAGTTGCACTAGAATCTCGTCCTGTTTCATAAAACTAAATGGTGCTCATAAAATCCACGCTCTCCAATTGTTCACCCGATGTGTTGCACTCCAAACGCGAGACGAGAAAGACGAGCATGAAGTCATTTTTCATGAGAAACAACAGCTAGAGCCAAAAACGTAACATGACATACACTTGAAAAATAATTAAGAAAATAGATGTGGTTTAACTTTACTTTTCTAAGACTTTGAGACAACTGATGCAGCTACAGATCTATCCTCTGCATCCCCAAAGAGATCATCATTGTCATATTTTGTCAACCCACGACTTCCTGGGATTAAGCTCTTCAGTTGAGCACCTTCGAAATTGCCATCAGAATGTGCTGCATCCTTGCCTTTCTCAATCTTTATTCCAGGTGAGGTACTCCCCCCATCTGCATTGGCTCCGTCTGAAGCCCTTCGGGTGGGTCCCGCCCAACCACTACCCACTAATCCTGATACTGAATACATATCTTCATATAGACCACCTTTACCAGGAGACTTAACCTTTTCCAAGTATTGTTTTAGCTTTTCAGTCACACCAGGCACTGACCCACCCTGTACTTTCCCCTTAGAATCATCTTTCCCTTTCGGAATAACTGTGACCTGTACTAGTGATTCATACTTCCCAACTAAGCTCCCTTCTCTTACACCAATTGGTCCTGGCTCTGTACTCACATCTGCACCATCGGAGATTCCTACAACCTCAGCTAGAATCCCACCATATTCATCTCGATAGGACACCCGAGACTTCCTAATCCGTTTTGTAGGCCTTTCACTAGCATTTTCTTCTCTTGTTTTCGAGTCTGTGGAATAGTTCCTCTTGTACCTGCACACGCTAGGTCTGTGATTCTGTAGTGGGTGGAGAGAACGAGGAATTACATGACAAACCTTGAAGGTTAAATCTCATATACAGAAGCATTGTATACATATAATCTTGTAGGCTTCACATATGCACTCCATGATTTTAATAAACATTAGTGCCAGTGTTAAATAGCAGGCTTCTTGATATATGAATCATGTTACTAAGATAATTTATTGCGAAATTCAAAATTTCTGCAAAATGCCAAAACTCATTCATCTCGTAGGAAATACCTCTGATATGTGACTTAAACATTAGTGCCAGTGTTAAATAGCAGGCTTCTTGATATATGAATCATGTTACTAAGATAATTTATTGCGAAATTCAAAATTGCTGCAAAATGCCAAAACTCATTCATCTCGTAGGAAATACCTCTGATATGTGACTGTTGGAACAGGATTTGGACTTGGAGCTCCTAACTTGTTGAGATTTGTGTTATAAGCCACAACTGCTTCCTCATCGCTCATATCTGGACCTGGCGGGTAAACAAATTGTGCTGGCACCTCTGCAGAACCTGTAGGTGGATCTCGAACAACTTTTCTGAGAACATAGGTCCGTGTTGACGCTGCAAATCTGAGAGATTGGCCTACTTCTAGTTCCACTGGATTGTCTTTCGTAAGGCGTTCATTTGCCACAAAGGTCCCATGAACAGAACCTAGATCAATAACATACACACTGCAAAATGACCACCGTGATGGTTGTGGTCTTAGACACCAAACTTGAACGAATATTAACTATTTGATTGAACACATGTTCAAATTTGCATCTTTGAGCTATCCCATGACCGTTCTGTCACCGTGACCAGTGTATAAAGGCCAGATTAGCTCTGGCAAAAACATTGAACAGTGAATCTATTCACCAAGTGAATTCAATGACGGCAATAAAAGCTATTTTGCAAATTCAAACCTTCCATTCTTGTGCAGTACAACAGCAGCATGCTGCCGAGACACTGACGGATGGTCCAGCACATAATCGCACATTAAAGCTTGACGCCCAAACAGTGCCCGCCTTTTTTCAAGAGAAATCTTGTCCACCACTGTACCATCTTTAACCACTTCCAGAACATGAACCCCGTTCTTAAACTCCGCGGCCCATTCAGGAGGTTGCCAGTTAGATCCACCTTGTCCCAATGATGTGCTAGAAGTCTGCACTTTAAACAAGTGACCTCTAAGTTTTGAAGACCTAAGCATAACTGCCGTTTAGAGTTACTCACTCACAACGTTCGGGCAGCATCAAAAAGCATCAGTGAGGAAGACAAGTTGTATTCTTGCATACTGTATTAGCATTTCAAGAACATTGAATTGAAAGGACGAAGACAGCCCACCGCAGCGGCTTGAGCTTCTGCTGGGGGCGCAGGCGGAGGAACCCGGGGTTGAGACGGAGTGATAGCTTGCTTAACAACTCCTGGATTTACAGAGAAAGGTTCGACAGATTCCGCCTTCTTGAATCTGTCCATGCCATATCTGTTCAACATCTTGCAAAACCCTTTCAGAGTCCACCAGTCCCTGACGCAGGAATAAGTGCTGTATAACAAGCCCCTGATAATTCTGATGAATACGGGGATGAGGTCATTGGAATGCCTGAAACAATTCAACGCTGCATCAAATCGCTATAAGTCAAGCACATATAATTTGACGTCAAGGAGGTCTCCTTCCAAATGAATCACACAAGGGTTGGCAAAGAATGAAAGAATAATGTCTCGAGAAGGAGCCCCCGGAATCCCAATCGAGTCCACAATTACGATGAACTAAATATGTGAGCACAATAGTTGTATGGCAAGAGTAACAATTCCACCAAATTTTGATTTTCTCTACCAATAGTTTTTTCCCAGCCTACCTAAACTAAAAATTTCTCGCATCAACCTCGCCAGCAGCAAGTGCTCTAGAAAAAATAGGTATTCAAAGCAAATTAACGTCGTATAACTCACTTTTAATCCATCCTGTGCTCATTAAACAACATTCCTGATGCATTGAAATTTCCCCGTGCAGAAGAACATCGATCACCGATCGACGTAAAGACTTACAAATTCTTCCTGGAGATACTTGTACCAAATCTGCTAAGACTTCGTGACCAGAAGAGAAAAATATGCAAGATATTCTCATAGACCTCTATGAACAGCCTAATAGATTGAAGAGCACTTGTATTATACTCTCTTCTACGATTATTAATCTAACTGGAAAATTTAACCTAAATCCATCAATTCTTCCTTCCATGCTTGAAAAGAAGCAAACTTCAGCGTTCTCGTCCTCAACATCTGAATCAAAGCCTCAGTAGCGGAGTAATCGCCGCCACTTTATCTTACCGCTAGCATCCTCTATCAAACAGCCCCTCGTCTAAAAGAATTCAAATGAGTGAATCACACGAATGTGCCAATGGACAATCGAACATCCACACCTTCAGGGTGAAAAATGACTTGAGCCACCATTGCGAACTACATCTTTCTCCAAATCCTCACCCTCGATATAGCGAAAGTGGAACTTGAGTCAAGGATGCCCTATCTTCATGACTGGCACAAGTAATTACCTGGACACCGGTGCGACCATCACATTTCACCATTGATCTCGGCTTCGTTCGAAGCGCATCGTTCTGAGGTGTGTATCAAAGTTTTCCTCCTCCCCTCGCGATGTGGCCAGAATTTTCTCATCTCTGCTTATTCTAGCTATGGCGAAGTAGGGCAGCAGCTTTATGCACGCGACTAGAGAAAACGTGAAAACGAGAAAACGAGAAAATGAGGCCTCCAGCCTGAGAATCTTGAGGGGGAGTAGGCCTTTAACCGTGTGAGTCATGCACTCTTCACCGATGGCTGGGGACCTGAAGACCGTGAGGCAGGTCACCGAATTCCGCAGACGACTAATCTCCTCCGCCGATTGTTGAATCATCTGAAGGACGAAGTTCAATCTAAACATTTTGTTATAACTTCGAAAATCATGTTCATTGATTCACATCAAAAACTTTACTATACAATGCATATTTATGAATTTATGAATATCATGATATTTATGAAATTCACTCATACTGCTCGCGATTAAAAAAAAAAAATTGTGTGTAGTGTTATAGATGTATCATTTCAGTGATACTTATATGTAGTTCATATAACTTAGTTAAAATAAACAATCTTTTTTTCAAGCTTTTTTTAATATTTGAATCAATTTATATCCGTAAAAATATCGAAACTGAAAGTATTTTTCGTAGAGAAAATATATTATCTCTTTACGACTACTTTTTTTGCAACCAGTAAATATTGTTTTAAAAATACAAATAGAATAAAAATAATAAAAAAATGAATCATTAATTTTAAAAAAACAGGTATTTGAATATCATTAATTGTAAATTATACGATGCCTATATATGCACAAAAAAACCAGCCTTGTCCTCACAGGTTATTATACGTTTTTTGGGATTTTTAATTGAACTTTCTGGCTTGTAAGGTTATTTGTTTGTATCTTGAAATTTATTTCAACATAAATTTGAAAAGTAAAATAAATTAAACAAATAATAAGTTACAAATAACAAGTTTCACCTCAACCATTCCATTATTTGCTATGCAGACACAATTTGTAGCCTATTATTGTTATCACGCTTACAGTAAACTGAAGAATCATCCATGCTCTGTACATAAGTTTTGCATGCATGTGTTTAGTGCGTAAATAAAACTAATATTTTTACAAATTCTTCACACGGGTCACAGTTACCAGCATTTTAAACTCTACTTTAAAATCACGAAAATAACTAAAAATTATATATAAATAATATATATATATATATTAACCTTCAACTGATATGCTTCAAAAAAATATTTCAAGTAAATATTGACCTCAATGAAAAGTTAAAAAAGTAGTGCAACAAGACACTCGAAGAGTGAGCTAAGTTGGTTGAAGAACGCAGAGAAAAGACTCTCTTACTGTCATTCCCCATCACAGCCCTTCGATCGGGCCATCCATGGTCTCCATTCACGTCCTGTTATCAGGGGCCACACCTCGATTCAGTCCAAGAACCGGATTGACGACCTGGGATACCCGGTACCCGCACATGATTGAGACTCTGAGCTAGGCTAGGGTCAGGCATAGCTCATATTCCAACGGAGACATCATCATCCACGCGGTGTTCTGGAAACTAAGAGCTCTTCGCCCTGCACCCTCGTTCTTGTTGTTGTTGTTGGTTTGTGAGGGGTGCTCTGTCTGGGGTTAGCCTGCGCGTTGGTTTCATCGCTCGTATCTCCTCACCCGTCGTGGTTTAGTCGCCGTCCCCGCGGGGTGCTGCCGCCATGGGGCTTACATTCACAAAACTGTTCACGAAATTGTTCTCGAAGCGGGAGATGCGCATTCTGATGGTAGGTCTCGACGCAGCTGGTAAGACCACCATTTTGTACAAGCTGAAGCTGGGCGAGATCGTCACCACCATCCCCACCATCGGTATGGTTCACTTCATTGTTAGTGTGTTTTATCTGTGGCGGAGTGCGGGGGGGTTTGAGTGGTTCTGGGTGAGGGTTACGGTCGGAGAGTATTACAAGGTTGGCAGGATGTTTTTATTTTTTATTTTTATTTTTATTTTTACTCGTGTGCGTGTGTGTGTGAACGTAGGTTGAGTTTCATTTTGTAGAGTTGGACTCGAACTGAGAAATGTGTGGGTGGTGTAAATGCAGGGTTCAATGTGGAGACCGTTGAATACAAGAACATCAGTTTCACCGTTTGGGATGTCGGAGGTCAGGACAAGGTACGATTTGCCTACGATGATTTGCGCTTATTAGTTGAGGATGCGGCCATGAGGTTTTGTGACACCCTACGATTTCAGAAATTGGAAGTATCCAAGTGCTGGTTTGTGGATGTCGTGTGGACGAGTAAGCAGTCGTTTGGTTATGTAACTAATTAGCTTTCATTGTTTCACAGATCCGACCATTGTGGAGGCACTATTTCCAGAACACTCAGGGGTTGATCTTCGTGGTGGACAGCAACGATAGAGATCGTGTTGTGGAAGCAAGAGATGAACTTCATCGCATGCTAAACGAGGTATTTGTCGATGCCTCTTCGATTTTCTGGGCTTTTTTCTGTGGGCATTTTACAAAGAGCTCATTCCTCGTTTTAAGGATGGCTTGCCATGGAGAGCGCCTCCGAATTCTGCTCCCTCTGTTGAACCACTTGCTCTTTTGTTTTTTGCAGGACGAGCTACGTGATGCGGTCCTACTCGTGTTCGCCAACAAGCAGGATCTGCCAAATGCCATGAATGCTGCAGAGATCACTGATAAGCTTGGGCTCCACTCACTCCGCCAACGCCATTGGTAATCAGTCGTACTTTGTTGTATTTCTGCTATATTTCTCCTATGTTACGATTACGCAGTTCCATTTATGTCCTGTATGGACGTAATATACTCCTGCTAACCTTGACTTTGGGTTTTAATCAGGTACATTCAGAGCACCTGTGCAACTTCTGGAGAGGGTTTGTACGAGGGTCTGGATTGGTTGTCAAGCAACATTGCCAACAAGGTACCATCAACACGTCAATTAGCCTCGTATTTGAAGTTTTAATGCAGTTTACACATTTTGCTATTTAACTGGCCATGTTTTTGGGTGTCGCTAACTTCGCTGTGTATTTGTTGTGCAGTCTTGATTACGGCGATATGTGGAATTCTATGCTCCTAAGTGAGCTGTCCCTTAGCTGAAATGTGAGGATTTAGTGAACTCCTATTGTAGAGTTTTTGAGATGGCGTAGCTTAGAAATTCTGATTTTGAATGATAATGTCTCTCAGTCCGAGTGCCTCAGTAAGCAGGATGCCTTGAAGGCAGTTGTATGCACATATGGAATTTAGGCCCTTAAATGTATCACAGCTCTATGATTTGATCTTAGTTTGAATTTGCATGATTTGTCTCCAATTATTTTATAATTTTAGAGTAAATGTTAGCACTTGGATTGTTTAAGTTGTGTTTCTTCGCTTGTCATCGTGATGTAGTGGATGCATGATAGACTGTCGTTAATATCGAATACCTGAATGATTTAATATCCTCGAACTCCATGCATGTAACAAAATAAATACAATGCGTGAAAAGGCTGCGTCCACATCTGTTCTCAGATAGTCTTAAAGACCAACACCGCATTTATAATGCTGCTCTGGTAACTCTATTTTGAAGGAACTTTAATTGCTGCACTACCCATTGTAAATTACCGAGCCCAGGAAATGTCCGTAATGGAAGGAGTATCTACACGCAGCGAAATCTTTGAAATTTTGAAATAATTGTAAATTTAGTGTTGTCGGTGAATATAAACTCGTTCTTAGTGACAGCGGTCAAGTATTAATACAGAGGCATGTTTCAACCTCGTTGCTTCCAGCTGTACAGGACTTAGAAACAGAGAGGCACATGGTGTGGAGTGGATTCGTTTCCCCATTCTGATATCCTCTTTCCGAAGCATTGTCAGTGAGCCAGAAGCTCGATGCATTCACCATTACGGCAGTTGATGGTCTCTTGAATGTTGAAACGGGATGAGAGGGTTGAATCGACTCTTTTGTGGTTTTCTTTAGGATTGAGGAAGTCGGTCGCTGTTGGAGAGGAGGAGAATTAAGTTGAATTGAGGAGTTAAGTGGAGGAAGTCCTAGATGTGATGGAGCATCGGGGGGTAGCAGCTGCAGCTCTGATTTGTATTCTGGGGTTTTTTGAGGCGAGTAAATTGCGTACGGTGGAAGGAAATGGTGCTCCGCGGGCGCAATTGTCTTCGATTCTAGACGTGAACGGCGACTGGCATGTACATGCCGGGGATAACGGGGGATTTATCGAGATGGAGATTATAGGGGAATTGGAGAAAGTTGATGTGAAGATCTGGCCAATGCCTGTAGAAGTTGTGCTTGGTGAGAAGCCGCTCTACTTGGACGGACACACGTTCAAATTTGAAGTCGCAAATTTGCCATCTGTGCCAGATACTCTTGCGAAGGCCTTCGTGAGATATCACGCTATTATCTTCTCATTGCACGCACAGCATTCGGGGTCGTCCTCCCCTGCGCTCACGAAGCTCATAGTCACTCTTGGGTCGCAAAACGAAGAGGTAGCGGATTCGTTGGAATTTACACTTTAATCGATATCGTTTCCTTCAGTAAGTTGCGTTGGTTGAGTCTTGAAGCAACCATTGGATTGGTATCCTTAAATTTCTGTACTTGGATAGAAAGCAGTTGTACCATCAAAAACAGAATTGTTGCAGATATCATCTCTTGCATTTCTAATCCTGGGTGAAAATTCTGCGGCTCTGTATCGTCTACAGCTTCAATACGGAGTGGACGAGTCCTACATGCTGGACGTTCGTGATTCATCAGATTCCAACGTTGCTTACCTTGAAGTAAGTGTCGTGCAGTGATGTGGTAGACACTACATCAAAAAACGATTCATCTAACTTTGAGCCTGTGACATCTGCCGAACTTCAGATGTGTAGGCAATAAATGACTCATTGCTCACTACATATGATTTGTTTCTCAAGGTCGTAGTTGACCGTTCAGAGAGCTTGCTTACCCTAATGATCTGCTGATAAGATGATACATCTTGGCAGGCGCTGACTGTTTACGGAGCTCTACGTGGTCTTGAGGTCTGTCTCTCACTAATGCTTTTGTGAATCATTTACTTACTGCTACAGTGTTCACATTTGTTATTGGAACAAAAAGATAGTTCCTGTGTAAATGCTGGATATTGAATTTTCAGGTCTTCATATATCTGCGGTTAGTTGATTGTAATGCCTGTTGTTCTAGTTTAGGGACAAATCATAAATTTGGGATACTATTAAATGTGGAATTACACGATTTGATCAATGTGTAGACGTTTAGTCAGCTGACGTCATACAATTTTACATCGAAATCGGTGCAAATACGAAGGACTCCATGCTTCATCAAAGACTTTCCCAGATTTCCATACCGTGGGCTTCTTATAGGTACATGCGTATCTCTCTGTTACATTTCTTCCTCTTTTCCAACATTGTTTGTTACTTTAATATTATTAGCCTTAGAACGAAGTACTTAACGTGACATTGTTTTATTCTTGATTTTGTCAGCGTTTGCATGTACTCATACAGTTCCTTTGAACAGATACCTCTCGCCATTACCAACCAGTTACGTCTATAAAACGTGTCCTTGACTCGATGGCATATTCCAAACTTGTAAGTTAATTTTTAACTGTGTCCCGAGTTTCGAGTAGAACAACCCGGCCTTCATTAGGTGAAATAGAGTACTTTATCATTCCAAATTGAGTTGTTTGTTGTGCTCTGTCTTCAGTCATTGATTATATTAAACTTCCAGGCTGCGAAAAGAGACACTAACAACAGTAGTAATATGGTGTGCAGAATGTTCTGCATTGGCATATTGTTGACGAGCAATCATTCCCAATTGAAATTCCCTCATACCCTTTGCTTTGGAATGGTGCTTACTCGTATGCTGAGCGCTACACCATGGATGATGCTCGTGAAATTGTGGAGTATGTATCTAACGCCCAGTATTCCTCTCGGACGTTTTAAGTTGTTGAAAAGTCAATCACCTTTGTTATTCATTGAAGTGCTGAATAACTCCAATGTTGTGAACTTCCGACCTATTTTTGCAGTCTTTATGAATGACTTCAATATTTCCTGTATTGCCTTTCTATTTCCTTATATGGTTGCATCTTGTTCATCGGGCTGTAGTTGTTATTGACACGGAGTTTTGTCCAGATATGCACGTTTGAGAGGCATTAACGTTATGCCGGAGTTGGATGTGCCTGGTCACGCAGCGTCTTGGTAATGTTGACCGGTCAACTTTGTGTTTTTGGGTGTTCAGTGTACGAATTCCTTATATTTTCAATATCTGTAGCCTCGTGGTATTACTGGATGTTTACAAGTTCCAATGCGAATGTAGGGATAATAGTCAAAAGATAGTGCTGATGCGTCAAATTGCTTCATCCAAATTGTCGAGCAATACTAGCGAGGGATTTTAAAAATAATTGAGTTATTTATTTTTTAATTATGAAAGTTAATAATAGAGTTTCCTATTTGACTCTGCTGATGTGTACTTGGCAGGGGTGTGGGCTACCCAGAACTTTGGCCCACATCAAAGTGCATTGAGCCGTTGGACGTAAGCAGTAATTTTACATTCGATGTGATCAACGGCATAATCGAAGGTCTGAGTTACCCTCCTATTCATTGCTGGGATAGTCTCCTGAAATATCTTCAATGTAGTGCATACGTTAACACATGTATGAGTATTCTCTTCTTGATCACTCCTTTTTGCATTATTTTTGGCTTACAAATCCCTCTTTGGTATTGCTGCAGATTTCAGGACAGTCTTTCCATTTAAATTTGCCCACTTGGGTGGTGATGAAGTTGACACAGGTAAGTCATATTTTTTTCTGACCTCCTTGTACGAGATGTGTAAGTAATCTTCATGTGTTTTTGTTGTTCTTGAAGAGCTAGTCAATCTCCCATAGGTTGTTCTGAGTTGTGCAATTACCGTGTTGGCATCTTTGACAGTAGAGTTGAAGATTTGTGGAATAGATATTCCCTTTTTGTAACTTTTTCATAATACTGTAGTTTTGGGGTATTATATATGAACAATGTATACTAGTATGGCAATGCTCTAGTGATAAATCAATGAGTTTTCATTGTCCTCGCCAAATATTGCCTATGCTTTGTATTATCAAACCATTTTTGTGGAGTGTATTGCAATCTTGTTTTAATGAGTAATGCTGAAGTTTATCACCTGATCCACATTCTGTATGAATGTATCTAGGTTGCTGGGAGCGAACTTCCCACATTCAGAACTGGTGTGAAATCTGCATCACGAACTGACACTTGCACTTCTATACTTAATATGAAATTTCCTTCAACTTCGTTACAAATTAATTCTAATAACTTCATCTGTGTAGGTTGAACGTCAGGAACATCACCGCGAAAGATGCATATGCTGACTTTGTAGTCCGTGCTCAGGATATCGCAATCAAGCATGGCTATGTGCCTGTGAACTGGTAATCCTATTTTTCCTTTCTCCTTGTCCTTACGCCACAGTATCCAATAGTTAAGTACTTCTAGGACTAGAACCTATTCGTTTTGTAGATTGCATCGGACGGAAGATTTTGACACGTACGTGTTAATGCAGTCATATTTCTGAATTATAAAATAGGGTGGAGTATTTTTCTCACGCCTAATTTTGGGTGTAACAGGGAAGAAACGTTTCATACATTTTCATCGCGTCTCAAGAAGGAGACGGTTGTCCACAATTGGTACGATTTTCGAACCTCGATCTTGCAGTGTTCATTTTTTCCCTTTGCTTAATGACGACCATGGTATGATGTTTTTTTTAAGCTTTATAAGCTTCTTCTAATGAAATTATCAGAAAAATGTCAATAGAAGAACTAGCAGATTTTGGCTGAATTTCGATAAATCCCACCTGTCGTACCTTCAATTTTTAAGTTCCAGGTTTGTGGTGATAGATCAATGTAACCAAAGATTTTAGCCTCATATTTGCGGATTGTAACGTGCAAGATTTTTCTAAACGATAATTCGTAAAAAGAAGTTACCATTGCACGGCTTTATATTTCACAGACGACGTGACTAGGATCGAGACTTCATATCTGAGACGACTAACTTCATTAGAGTTGAAATATTTTCTGATGTCGCGGTCTGTAAAATTGAAATCAGGTTTCAGAGTGGAACGTGTGCACAAGCTGTGAAAAAGGGATTTAGCTGCATATTAAGCGATCAAAGTTCTTGGTACTTGGACCATTTAGACGCTACCTGGGACAAATTCTACGAGACTGAACCTTTCTCCAACATAGAAAACAAGGACGAGCAGGATCTTATGTTGGGAGGGGAGGTGTGCATGTGGGGCGAAACAGCTGATGAATCGAATATCTTGCAAACTATATGGCCACGTGCTGCAGCAGCTGCAGGTACATCTGATCTTCCCATCCAATTTATGAGTTTTGTTCCCAAGGTACATGTAAATTTCTTTTAGGATTTGTGTTCTTTTTGTTGCGGCCACATTCATCAGAGCTGTAAGTGAAGAAGAATGGCGGATCGTTGTTACTCGAGGGTCTCTGAATGTTTCAAAGATTTTTTTTATTAACATCGATGAATGTTTCACCCTGAATCAGAGCGTCTTTGGAGCACGCTTGAGTATACGAAAGTAGGGCATACCCAAGCTGTGAGTAGGTTTCAGCATTTTCGGTGTCTTCTGAATAGACGTGAAATTCCAGCTGCTCCTATATTTTACGGTAGCAGATTTGCATATGGACGAAGTTCACCGTATGGCCCCGGATCGTGTTTCAAACAGTGATTGGATTTACAGAATGTGAAAACGGTCACTGGGCTGACAGAATTATGTAGCTATCGATGGCAGGTGCTGCACTTACCCGTTCGTGGACGCTGGTATTTTAACAGTTTTTATTGACAGAAGGTTCTTGCAATATAAGTGGAAAGAATTGTTTTACAATTTGAAAGTGAGATGGATGTATAGAGTGAGAGTGCCACATTGAATATATGTTTATTGTATATTACTAAAATAAATGTAAAAATATTATTGTCATAATATTTCACATATCTCATCAAAATTGTTCCACATGCTTGATGGCTGTATATCATACACAACAGATCTCCAAATTATAGAGAGATTGCAAAACCACACACAAAAAATACTCAGATACAAGCATGGAAGTGATAGATAAAGGACCTTGGTTGCATATTTGCATAGACGTTCCTCCAATATATCGTGCCTAACAAAGCACTCATACACAGCGACGTTATCATTAAAAATCAGAAGATCTACCTTACAACACCTAGTCGAGTCTAAAATACGGGACTACATTCTTTTGCCTTAGTTAATGGGTTATCACGTGAGTCCCCAAAGTTTCGCATCTCGCCATATTCACAGGCACCATCATTCAAGACTACACAACAAAATACACAAAGTTAGCAACACTTGTACATTATAAATAAAATGTATCGTACCAATGGAAAACCTTCATACAATAAATCTGCATCAGTTTAATTAACTTCATCTTTTCTCAATGTGCTAGCAGTACCTTATTGGCAATGTTGCTCGACAACCAATCCAGCCCTTCGTATAATCCTTCTCCAGACGTCGCGCAGGTACTCTGGATGTACCTGAGTAACAGGACAAGACCACAAGCACAAAACATGAGTGCTCCAAGTGTGGAACGCTATACGACCCCAAACACTGCCGACGTTTAAGTGAGGCAGGAATTGAAAAATGACTTACCAATGGCGTTGGCGCAATGAGTGGAGTCCGAGTTTGTCAGTAATCTCGGCGGCATTCATGGCGTTTGGTAGATCCTGCTTGTTGGCAAAAACCAGCAAGACAGCATCACGCAGCTCGTCCTACCGAAAAATCAGACCAATAGATCAGTTAGTTTTCCGTGTTGACAGCATTCATATCTTATCAACGGCAATTTGAATCACACATAAGTTCGAGATGTCTAAAAAAATTGACACGTCCATTAGGCATTGCCGACTACCTCATTCAGCATGCGATGGAGCTCATCCCTAGCTTCCACAACACGATCTCTGTCGTTACTGTCCACCACGAAAATCAGCCCTTGAGTGTTCTGGAAGTAATGCCTCCACAGTGGCCGGATCTGTCAAGGCATACCGAGTTCCTCATCAGGTCACCAAACCGGAGACTGCCCTTTCAAATACAGCACCCACGCAATTTCATTTTATGAGTTTAAACCAGTTACTAAGACCAGACTATCATATCCCATGACCCCGCCATGCAAATGATGAAAATATACATACCTTGTCCTGACCTCCGACATCCCAAACGGTGAAACTAATGTTCTTGTATTCTACGGTTTCCACATTGAATCCTACAACATCAACATTCACACAAATTTTAGCACAAGGATTCATAACATAGGCTATACATAAGAGATAAAAAAGAGAGCTAATCCGATAAAAATTTGCTATTCCTCACTCCTATTAACTTCTGTTATACATTTGTACCACGCCAAGAACGCTGAAGAAAGAATTGTCGCTTTTTCCGACAACTCTCGAAGCTTGTTGCGTAGCGGAATTGAAGTTTTGCGTCCAGAGAAAACCAATAAGGGTTCTCACAAAAGCTAGAGGAGTGGATCGAATCATACATTTACCAGCAGATTTACGGCATGGTGTACATATCACAAGTAGGACGATGCACACGATAATATCCTATCTTTCCTACAACTGACTCTGTTCAGAGTCAAGCAAACTAGTCAACTTTTCTCAATCCTTTCCAAAAGACATAGAAATTTTAAGAACGCTCATTAAATTTCATGCAACGTGCACCTACCCATCACCAACAAAACACACAAAACGCCCCGCACAACCACTCAGATCCATACTAAAATGACATTACATGCCGCACTCTTACGGCGTGACCTGATCAACATCCTCAAACGCAAGTAACAAAAACCATCCAGCCAACCCCATAACAACTACCGACCGTAACCTTCACCCGGAAACACTCAAACCCTCCCCCCCGCAGCACTCCGCCACAGATAAAACACACTAACAATGAAGTGAACCATACCGATGGTGGGAATGGTGGTGACGATCTCGCCCAGCTTCAGCTTGTACAAAATGGTGGTCTTACCAGCTGCGTCGAGACCTACCATCAGAATGCGCATTTCCCGCTTCGAGAACAATTTCGTGAACAGTTTCGTGAACGTAAGCCCCATGGCGGCAGCACCCCGCGGGGACGGCGACTAAACCACGACGGGTGGGGGAGATACAGAACGGAACCGCACAGCAAAGAAACCGACAAGCGAGCTAACCCCAGAGCGCCCCTCGCAGCAGCAGCAACACAAACAAACAAACCAGAAGGAAGCGACGCGAGAGGTCGCAGTGACGAAGATCAACGAGGCAAGCCGCGCTTTAGGAGAAGCCCTCGCTGGAGACTGGTAAAGCAATCGCGCGGTTCGAGACTGCGCGCTTCGTCAACCAGGTTCCTGGACCCAATCGAGGTGCGAGTCTGGGTCTGGGGACGTGGATGGGGGCTGTGAGTGGCCCCGCGGAGGACCTGTGACGAATGCTTCCGTCCCTGGGTCGTGTTCTGGGGGCCGTTTATGTGGCCTCGAAGCACTCGTGGAGGCTCAACTCCCCAACTTGTCGCGCCCTATAACCGCGCTTTCGGTAGGTAAGTCTCCTTCCCTGTGTTTCTGTAATGGGTTTAAAGCCTTCTCTGGGTTTGATGTAAAGGAGTTGGAGGAATCCAAGCCAGAGAGAGAGTGTGGGAGGGACGGAGCTTCCAGAATCTCTCTCTCAGCATAGAGCTGTTGACTCGCAACTGGGTTCTCGGCATTATGTGTGTGTGGGCTCACCCGTTGAGATCACCACCACAGCTTCAACTTGCACTTTACTCCACCTCTTTCAGGAGACTTCATAATGCACTGAGAGAGGCTGCATGACTTGGACCCTCCAGTCATAACGAGGTCGCATCATATCGTGCAGGCAAAAAAAAGAAGCAAAAGAAAAAACTCTAATGCGTCATGATGTCACGCTCCTAATTACTTGAACAATTCAAATTGTGAATAGTGATAGTGGAGTGTAAAATTTGAGATGACTGCTGGTTTGCCTCGGCGCACTGTGCATTCGATGTTTATGATCATATTACATGTCTCTGTAACGTTGATGCTAGGAGTAAATAAATAAAAGTGTATGTATGCTTCTCTCATCATAATATATGTTGTTATATTACACATGTTTAGTGATTTGGCTTAGGTTCAGTAATTCTAAAGAAGTTCCCACAAATCAAAACTACGCTACCGTATTCTCAAACTTTTATAGCAATTGTTGTTTTTTTTAAAAAAAACTTTAATAATTTAGTTTTTCTTCTTTCGTTGTAATGGCATAAAAATGTATCTTACTAGCCATTCAGTTGTAGACTAAAGCGTCTCTACAAAAACATGTTTTTAATCCTCCACCATTCATGTTGGTGGAACTTTTACTAATTAACTTCAGAAGTTTGACAAAAATAAATATATACATTTGCATTCAGTCGAAAGGTTGCGTTACAAATTTTTCTACATGAAACAAGTGTAATGAAAAAATACCACAGACTGCGTTGTGTGAAAAATACTTCTCTATTTTGTCACTACTATTTACTTGTGAAAGACAATGCATATAAAAGAGCTCATCCCAAGGTGCGTTTAATGGATGTAATCTTTTAGTCTGTATTAATGCGTGTCGAACCTTCGTCTTCAGCAAGTAAACGTTTCGGCGTGGTAAATATAGGTATTTATTTATTTGTTTATTTATTTATTTATTTATTCATTTTTTGTTTTAATATTCTCCCTTTCCAACAAGACAACATTGTGCAGCCTGAAGAGTTGCGGAACTCTGCGAACAGTTTATGTGTAACCGCGTCTTCGAGGACATCCAGTCCCTAATATTTGTCACACCGTTTATCGATTCTTCAATCAGACGCCAATATCACGTGCCCAGTTCACGAAAATAATTCGATTGTGAGCGACAACATTAAGGACATCTACCTCGGAGAGACTACATGTTAACTGAGGGATAATGTGAGCTTCCATTGCATAGATTTGGCCATGATGCATTACAAAACGACTTATTCAGAGAATGAGCTAGAGGTCTAGAGCAAAAATCGTAATATGATTCGCATATCTTAAGGGAACATATGGCTCGAGACAATTCATCACAGACTCAAAATCGGTGGCATTCATCAAACACCAAACATGCGACGAGAACAAACAATCTGTGATATCGGAGTGTTTTCGATAAGATTCGAGACGAATGTTGGACTGAGACAAATTCCAGAATACTGTACTGCATGTAAAAGAGTTACAAAACTGATAATGAGTGGCCCTGCTGGACGTAGTAACGCAAGCGACGAAGAGAAACGTATAAAAGGCACGCACGTTTCATTAATACAGCATTCTGCTCTTCTACAGCACTGAGGGAACATCGTGGCAGCCAATCTGCACATACAAAATTCAAAAGGAACGGTGCCCACTCTCTGGGTTGCATAAAAGCTTTTGGATGAAAACACAGAACTAGCCAACAACAATTATGCCTGCAGAAAACATCACCAAAATAGAACGATTAGATGATACGTGAGAGACAAACTTTCACAATTAGCATCAGGACTTGCCTCTCTCAGAGAGGAACAGCTCGAACTTTAAGGTACTGCAGTCCCAAAGGCTTAGTTACACAATATACCTTGTTTGCGATGTTACTTGACAGCCAGTCAAGGCCTTCATACAGACCCTCTCCGGAAGTTGCACAGGTGCTCTGGATGTACCTACACAGAACACAAAAAATAATAAATAACATTCCATTACGTCATCTACCAGTGAAGACCTTTCTTCAGCTCCTTCAGAGTAAAGATAAGAAACAGGAAAATTCTCCAATATATTGTTTTAAACGATGAAAAGTGACAATGTTTACCAGTGGCGTTGCCGAAGTGAGTGGAGACCAAGCTTATCGGTAATCTCTGCAGCGTTCATTGCATTCGGCAAATCTTGTTTGTTCGCAAACACAAGAAGGACAGCATCACGCAACTCATCCTGCAGATGAAATGAGATACTATAATTAATAATCGGCAATATAGATTTCAGTGTCAATGACTGTTTGCTCGAAGTATTCACACCGGTTCAAATATTACAACGCGTACCTCATTTAACATCCGATGAAGCTCGTCTCTGGCTTCCACAACACGATCTCTATCATTGCTGTCCACCACAAAGATAAGACCCTGAGTGTTTTGGAAATAATGCCTCCACAATGGACGGATCTGCGAAAAAAAAAGAAAAACATCAACGATAAAGATCAATAACACATCTGATTTGTGCGCACAGACATTATATAAAGACAAGAATCTACCTCTAAATCCATTGCGTGCGGCTGCAAAGACCTAGTGGTAAACCATAAACACTTCGGAAGAGAAAACAACGTTTGAGAAATTTACCTTGTCCTGACCTCCGACATCCCACACAGTGAAACTAATGTTCTTGTATTCAACAGTCTCCACGTTAAAACCTGTAAAAAATTTGTACCACCTCAGATACTCTTCGGACATGTAATTGTGACACAATGTTTCAAACATCGAAAGGTTAAGCCCACAGAATTGATTCCCAGTCCACATCCAACAAACGAATCCAGCAATCCCGACTATCATTAGCAAAACCAGAACAACCTGACTCTAAACATTCCATCCTTTCACTTATGCAATTCCGTAGCAATTAAGCCAATCAGTTAGTCATAATACTTTCAGTTCACATTACTAAAATCCAGTGCAATTGCTGTGTGCTCACTTCCTACATTTTAGAACTATTTAATGCAATTATAAAAGTGATTGTCTCTCTTCAGAATTCAAAGAATGAGACGAGACTTCGAAGCCATTGCTCCGTGATCAACTATGCAGGTGACTGAAGGACAAGAATAGAAGAACATCAAAAATCAAAGAATGTTTTAACTCTCAATCAAATACCTAGGTTTAAACGCTTCGGCAATAAAAGATAACATTAACGGCCTCCGTAAGCATTCCACATGTCAACATGTTAATTTTGAAAAGCAACAAAAAACAAATGAAAGACACAACCAACAACGGCAAAACTGAGTCCGAATCAAAGCGTCGATGTTCGATCTGAGATGCAATGACACAGAAAAGAGATTTCGCTCAAACTCCAGAACCGAACCTCTCACGCTCAGGGACAGCGAACGCAAAACACGAAGGCAAGAGAGGACATGACCAGAAGAGAGGTATGCTGAATCAGAACATACCGATGGTGGGAATGGTGGTGACGATCTCGCCGAGCTTGAGCTTGTACAAAATAGTGGTCTTACCAGCTGCGTCGAGACCAACCATAAGAATACGCATCTCCCGCTTAGAAAACAGCTTCTGAAAGAGCTTGGTGAAGGTGAGCCCCATGGCGGCAGAGCCCCGCGGGAACAATAGATCTGAAAGCGGAAGAAGCTACCCCAAGGTGCGCGGACTCGGAAGTGGCGGAAAAAATAGCAAACCCTTCCCTGGCAAGCGGGCCTCTAACCCTGGACAGAGCAACAAGCCACGCACCAGAAAAGCGGCAACGATAACACACACAAACATACACACACACACGCTCACAATGGGGGACAGAATGGGAGGTCGATAACAAGACTTGAACAGACTTCCACTTCCTCAAGTTCCAAGTCCCCCACCCCCCCATTCACCGAGTGCCCCCGAGTACCGTCACATAGTAATTCCCATCGAGGTCCCAATCGAGGTAACTATGAAGCCATTGGCGTCCACAATCGACATCTCGGAATTTGACGAGTGCACAGTTTCTTTCTTCATACAGTTTGATTGGATTCTGCAGAATCTGACTCTGAGAAACTCGGAGAATGCAACGTCCACCTTTTTGTCCCATTTTTTAATGTGGATTTTCTTGTGGAATTGGGTGCGTGGAGATGAGAGCATTCTTCGAAGTGATGACGCGATGGAGTTGCTTGAGTGCTAAGCCAAGTGGGGCCTATATTAATTTGTAGTGACACGAGTCGGACGCTCACGGTGGCATACACACTGACATTTTCAGCGGCGTAGAAGGGTGGTCGTGGGTACATTGTCTGCGCCCCCACTCTTGGGCTTAATTCCTACGCGGTCTGCTGTTTGGATGGTCTACTCTATGGCTGGTACTTAGGAGGATTTGTCATGCAATTTGACAGACACCTTTATCCCTTTCACGTTTTTTTAACTCCCGAATTATCCCCCCTGCCAACTATGCACCAAAACCGGTGGAGATCCTTTTGTTAGGCTTCTCTCCCTCCAGTGAATGGAGTTTGAATTCCGGAGATGTGATTATACCCACTTTTCTGCTAAGTTGAACTGAGCACGGCCAGCGGTCTGTAAAAGCTTCTGTGGGGACAGTCCGATGGGTTCTAATTGTGAAGTCGCACGCTTGATCATTGTCTTTTGTTTACCTTGTCTCCAGCCTAGGTTCGAAGTTTCAAAGAATGATCAATTGGAGCTCTCAGCTTTTATTGATGCCCAGAGGCTAGTTGCCTAGCGCATGTGTCGGAGGAGAATGTGAGTAAAACCTGCTAATACCCCACTTTTAACAGTTCATTGAAAACTAAGTATTCTGTATGGCTTCAAAGAAGATAGACTGCTTTGAAACTGGTAGAGGCTTGAAAATTAGAGCGCTCCAGTCGATGAGTCTGTAACTAAAAGGCTGGTTCTTGTGAAACACTGCTACCCCATATCCAGGTCCAAAGTTGGAATCTAGATGCGTATCAAAGGGACGTGAGTCATTATTGAGGAAATACTCCTAATGATGGAGTTTGGCCTGGTCAACCAAGTAGTTACACTGATACCCGTCCCCAACCCTATCATTGTGCAGGAAAAATGCCACACTCTCTCTCTCTCCCTCTATATATATATTTAGTCGACAGAAGCCTAATTAGCTCCTGGGGTTGATGGGACGGGACGATTAGTGTAACACTAAAATTTCATGTTGACTTCAATCAAACACTGTAACGGACAAAGATTCAGGAGTCATATGTCACACCTTGTCATAAACATCTGATGCGGTTTTCTGCTTCAAGATCCATCGAAATACACAACAATACCAGCGGAATTACGTTGTGGAAAGCGGCAAATGAAGGCGCAATGACACACCCTAATCAATCGAGCATCATTGACAATGATAACAAAGTTTGTAGTAAAAGGGGTCTTTAAATAATTGAAGACAAAACCCTACTGTATGCTAAACATTCTGACTATTTGTACAAGTCACATGCAGCTCAACGCCAAATGCTGGCGCTTGTGCGTATATTCAGGTGTGATCGTCTGGAGAAATTCCTTGGGTGTCGAAGAAGACGAATTGTACAGATGAATGGTCCACAACGGCATCAGCCTGTTGCCAGTGATTACAGTTGACCCTCTTGTACTGTTAGACTAAAGAGCAGCAACAGGCACAAGCATGTATAGTTCTATTACACGGGAACACTCAACGTCACTACAGTCAATCATAAGTGAAAAAATGGTTTGTTGACTCAACGAACATGAATATGACGATATACAAAACATATACCTAATTATGAAAGAAAACACGAAGAGGAGACCACCACTAATTCAATGTATTAACCTTTCTACCATCAGTTGTACTTTCAAAGGGAAAGCAAAAATGTTATAAGAGATTATAATTTCACAGAAAAGGGAGATAATCAGGTCCGATTACAGATAGCAAATCTCAATAACTAAGCTTTGCTTCATAGAACTAGAAACCGTAGAAATTCCTAACACAATGAAAGAGAATCGAAACTGCATACCTTGATGTAGAAGGTGGCTGCTACCGTCTGCAAACCCACGAGAAGGAACAAGTGCTGCTGCTTCAACTGCAGCGGGCTATAGCTGTGAGAAAGACAACGATCTTTCCCATGTCGCTATGTAAACTGCGCTTAACTCAACCTCCTTGTCATTTTGAAGAACAATAGCACTGCCCGAGCGGGCAGCCATAACCAAGGTAAAAATAACCATAATGAAGGGAAAGTTTACCAACGTGCAAAGCAAAACCAGTCCGACCCTCACAAAGCTTGCTGACACGAGACTGCTTCATTGTGGCACGTCGAATCCAGGCATTTCAAACGCCGTGGCAAATTCCTCAATTTTAGACCTCAACTCCAAAATTTCGCCATTACCGAGGACCTCATTCTTTGACTGTGTTTTGGAGTTTCCTTTGTTTAGATTTGCAGCAATTTGCATGGCCCTATAGAGAAACTCTGCAATCGTGTCAAAATCTCCTTCGTTGCAGCCACGAGACGTCATTGTTGGGGTTCCAATGCGTACACCACCAGGTTGCCAGGAGCTGCTGTCTCCATACACAGCATTCTTGTTAACTGTGATGTGACATGCTTCACAGACCTCTTCCAGAAGATTGCCAGTAATACCAAAAAGACGAAGGTCCCAAAGTAGCAAATGATTATTAGTTCCGTCTGTGACCAGCTTGCAACCTCGCCTCTTGAGGCCCTCTGCAAGAGCTTGAGCATTTTTCTTCACTTGCTGGATGTACTCCTTATACTCATTAGAGCACACCTGCTTGAGGGACACCGCCAGGGCTGCAGTATGGTTGTTGTCCGGCCCTCCTTGCAAAGTCGGATGTATCGCAAAATTAATTTCCTTCTCAAGGTTAACAGAGGCGGTATCCCCCGATTTCCCTGGGGCCTTCAATCCTTTCCGAAAGAAGACAATGCCGCCCCAAGGCCCGCGAAGAGACTTGTGAGTGGTGGATGTTACTACATCGCAGTAATCAAACGGGCAGTCACATTCCTGTGCAGCTATAAGCCCGCTTATGTGAGCCATGTCACACATTAGAAAAGCATGAATTTTATCAGCCACTTGGCGAAAGCGTGCATAATTTCATTCTCGTGTGTAAGAGCTCCCGCCGAATATTAGTATCTTCGGACGGTAGAGCAGCGCTAATTCCTCCATTTTTTCGTAAACGATGAGGCCTGTTTCAGGATGGACCTTAAAGGGTAAAGTTTGAAAGTAGGTGGAAGCAGCAGAGATCTTCTTCCCCCCCCTGTGTCTGATATCCGTGACTAAGATGACCTCCAGACAAAACGTCCAATCCCATAATGCGATCATTCGGTTGCAGACATGCGGTGAAAACGGCAAAGTTTGCTGATGAACATGAATAGGGCTGTATATTTACACCCCACTTTCCGGGGTCGAGATGAAAGGCTGCTAACGCCCTTGAACAGCAAAGAGACTCAATTTGATCGATGTGTTCGTTCCCCTTATAGTATCTACTGCCAGGTAAGCCTTCCGAATACTTGTTGGTGAGATGGCTGCCCAATGCTTCAAAGACGGCTAGCGAAGTAAAATTCTCTGAAGCGATCAACTCAATGCCTCTCCATTGTCTGTGCTTTTCTCTCTCCATGATATAATACAAATCTGGATCCACGTCGGAAAGGGGTTTATTACCCCAATCACGAACTCCTCGTCTCCGTTCCTTGTGGTCATGGTATTGAAATGGGGTCTGGTTCTTGGCTCCTCTGTTTCCAATAGACGATGAGTGGTTTGGCAAAGCCCTGGGAATCCCATTCTGAAGATGCTCGGATGCAACGACTGCGAAAGGCGCCAGGAGACGGGCCATGCAGTAAAGGTTGTGAATTACGAGGGGAAGTCTGATACACGACAGGGGACTGCTGAGCGGAGGAAGGAGAAGGCGCTGGAGGAGTACGAAACTGACTGCCCTACAACATTCCTGTAGCCTTCCGTTTCGTAAGCTGAAAATTGTTTACATGAGAAAATCCCAAGGAACCACATGAACCTGGAAAGAAAAGCTGATTGCCATCTCTCGTAGTAACTTGCATGACCGTCTCTACCTGCCCAATTCCATCAAACCATCAGAGCAAAGAACGATGATCTCGCACGACTTCACTGAGCGAAACTCAAGAAACCCTCGCCATAAATTCCGTACTATCGGGTAACCCTTCAATGTCAACAAAATGTTACAATCTCTCAAAAAGAAAAATGGAATTTGTCCACGAAGCAAGGAGAAAACAATTCAAGGGGAGACGTCCAGACTCAATGTCGAAATTCGGGAGGCTAACATGAAATATTTTTTTACGAATGAGTCCTTGGATACGATGTCCTTAAAATTATGATCAGAGAAAATGCTCTCTCGAAGTTTTCCTTTAATAATGGTATTCTATTTTAATGGCTCAAATTAAAGTCTGAAAACCTTGAAACCTGGTGTTCTGTTATTCGTTCATAATTTCACTCTTTTTTCTTTCGCCCATCAACAACGATGATGCTGCAAAGGATTAATAATTTTAATTTCTTCCTTTTTTTTCTCCCTAGTTTGTTGTATTTTATTTTTTGAAAAAACCTAAGTGACTTGTATACCAAATGTACTATATGGTTTCACAGACAAGTATTCTTACCTGGTTACGATCATTCCAGTGACAACCGCTAGATAAGGTAGGTTGAACGTTGTTGACTTGCTCTATCTGGAGCTGGTGCTGTGGTCTGTTGCATCATTTGCGCCAGCCCCAGCGAGAGGCTTGGCTTCATTTCTCCGACATCCATCTTATTCGATGATGAACTGCTCCAACACCTTGTTATATTCGAAACATGGACAGGAATTCGTCCTTTAAAGCATCACCTCTAACACAAACTACGACAGCAACAGCGACTTATACAATCTGTAAACCAAATCTAATTTCGGCGTCATGCACATCACCCCTCACTCAGTAAAGCAAATTACTCGTACCGAAAGAAATTCCTGTTGTATGCAACTCAGTACGGGGAAGATAGCAACAACAACAATATCCCTCCACCCTTGCAGTGAAAGTT